AATACATATAATAAGTAATATATATAATAAACTAAATAATATATATATATATATATATATATATATATATATATATATATATATATGTTTTTTATTTCTCACACTATGTACAAAATTAGTGAAGTAATTAGAAATGTGGATTTCAATGATAACGTTTAGAAAAGTATCAAAAATGTTTAAAATCAAACAAGAAACCTATAATATTTTAACCTTATCACATAGTTAATATGGCTAGGGCTCCAAAAATTACTACTAGCTAGCTGAAATTGAGACAAAATTGTCTATTGAAAGGATTCTCACCAATCATGAAAATGTTAGGGTCCTAGTTAACCCGTACTCCCATGTCCCATACACACGAGAAATTTTTAGGACGCATGAGATTTGACACCCCCCCCCCCAAGTACTGAATACAGATTGCTAATCGCCCCATACACAAGGCAAGCATAAGTACTTAGCTTCGAACTTTGTACCATAACAAACTAAACAGCATAGAGTTTGCACACAGCTGTCCACAATCAACTTCTAACAAGTTTCATCAATGACAATAAACTGCACAAAAATAAAGCCATGTGAAAGTACCACATGATTAACCCTTTCATCTTGGGTAGGTCAAAGTGTGCATGTCACAATCTTTTAGAGTTACATTCAAAATTTAATTAAACTATTTTATTATCAATATTTATGAATAAACTCTGCATTGGAACCTAGATGATAAATAAAAGTTTAGTATTTAAGTTCTTACATTTATAAGAAAATATTTTTTAAAAATTCTCAATCTCCCCTAGTATGATAACTGTGACATCTGTCTTCCCTCTTCTCTAAATCTCTTTTTATCACCCTCCAAGAAGTAGGAAATTTAATGTAAATTACTCATTATAACGTTTTCATCATTCAGGCAAAGCATAATTTACGTAGCCTTCAATTTTATTTAGTTGGAGCAATAAAATTGAAAATCAGATCCCTCTTGCCATGCCCATCTGTCACATCCTCTCTTTCACAAATTTCCAATAGTTCTCTCTGACATTTAAGACTAAATTATTTATAACCAATAGAAAGCCAAAGTTTTTCTCTATCAAGTGATGTATTATATTACATTGTTGTATGTACAGAGAATTGTCTGTTTTCCTTCCAGTTCAAACTTCATTCCCACGGGAAACACATTGATAAACTTAGCTGAATTTTTAACGGTCTTTTGTCCACAGTTAGAAAGACAGAAAAATTGTGATAATTATGGAACATTGTTTCTTTTTTTTGCATGTTATTATTATTCTGTGTTCTTTAGTGCATTCTTTAATTAAATA